CGAGAAATAAAAGAGATGAGCGATAGGATTTTTCCATCTGCTTGGTGGCTGGAAATCCACTCCCTGCTCAAAGTGACTGGAAAATGATCAGCTCTGTCCACAGTTTAGTTGATTTTGTAATGCCACATCAGAAGATCTTTCTTCTCCCATTTTATAATGTTGCAAGTTTATCCCATGACATACTTGAACTGTATGGCGAAATTACGAGTGAGCTGTGAGGAATGCCCATTTTCACACTGTTAATTACTATAAAATGACATCATCGTTCTAGTAAGAACCTTTTTGGAAAACCTTTTTCAGTATGTTCCATCTGTTAGTAGGAATGTACTGTGTATCTGTGGATTCAGATTTAATCCCTCCCCTGCAATACAAATTTCCTTCAAGGAAATTTAGCTCCAGTTGTTGTTTTTCTTATCTCGTTTGTACACATCGTATCTTTGTTTCCGAGCTTATAGTGAGTTACAAACAAAGTTCGAAAAGCGGCCATAAATTGGAAAGTCTTGACCAATTTGAAAGATAGTTTAATGTAGTTGAAATAACTGAATTTTAGGTTGCTCAATCAAGTAGAGGAAGCTCAATGGAATTCATAATCAAAATCGTGGTGTAACATGGATCTCTCCTGTCTTGGTCATGGAATAGATTAAATAAATTAAAAATGGATTTTTGTTCAAGAATGAAATCTTATTGGAAGTGTCCATATCCAGTTTAACCATAATTTTGTACATGAGCGACACCCCCTTGATGCCTATACATAATGATAATATTACACTTGTTATTTAAAAAAAAAGTTCATCGTTCAGAACTATAAAATAAAATAAATGTAAATAAAAAATAGAATATAAATGATACTTTGATTCTTACCATAAGAATGGTAATAGTCTTTATTTGTATGCTTCTGATCTTTTCTGCAATTTATATAAGATCGTATGAATTTTCCCGTCTAGGAACTGTTATTATAGTCATAAAGCTTATGTACTTATATCTAATATATGTGGATGTGGAACTTGGGACCGTTTTGATCACTCTGATTTTTCTTATATGTGATTTTCAGGCTGTAAGTTTAGGTTCATTATCAGACATGGATGATTTGGCAAGTACTTTTGCAAAGGTCAGCCTCTTCTCTATAATAATAATGCAGATTTTGATGCTTGAGAAAAAAAAATCAAGCTGATCTATATGGACTGAGTACTATCGTTTTCCAATTAAGGATTTTTAAAATTTTCTATGGTCATACTTATGTATATGTCTGCATGTGTGTAATAATATTAATAAAAAAAGAAGATTGATTCCTAATTAAAAAATGTTACTAAAAATTAAAAATGCTTTTAAATGATTTAGTTGGTAATAGCGTATTTTGAAATCATCGTGGTGTATTACGGAAAATATCTTTGTTAAAAATACAATTAATCAGAGGTGAGAATACTCCTCCATCCATCCTAACTTTTAGGGCACAAGAAGATGGTCTTACTTTGATGTGCCATGCGGCCAGCTTTAAAGATGTTGGAAAGTTTTTTACCCTGCGTTCTTCTTTCATGTGGCATTTCCGGAGTGATGTTTGGAGCATTTTCCGGGTAAAATGCTACTGGCACAAATGGATTTGTAGTTATTATAAAGGTGAAATAAATTACGGGCACAGAGGTGGAAAGATGAAAAAGTATTGGAACTTTTTTCCTTTTTTTTTGGGGGGGGGGG